CCCCAGTACTCTTTCCTGCCACAGCAGGGGGTCAGACTTCTGATCCTACCAACTATGAAACTATGAAAAACCTCTGACATAGGAGCAAAGGGAAGGGGGGTGAATTTTCCCCCTAGCCCCGTGTAGCAACCAGCAAAGTCCAGAAGCATAGGAAATACACTTGGTAGATCCTCTCTGACCAGTGCCTGTCCAGCCTATTGAACACTTCCAATGATGGAGAGTCCACAACTTCCCTAGGCAGTCTAGTCCACTGCCTCATTGTTCTAACAGTGAAGAAAATGCAACATCTCTGTTGTAGTAGACAGAAAAAAATATTCTGTCTTGTTAAAAGGAAGTATTCATGGCTCCTCCTGCCGTGCAGCAATGGCTCACCCAAATGGATCTTGAAAGTATGATCTTGTCAGTAGAGCAGAGTCTTTCTCTTTTTAACTCTCAAACTTCCCTGGATAGCTATTGAAAACTCAGGTTCTTAGACATATATTTAAAATATATATTTGTCCTGTGTTTTCTAGCCTTAAAGCTTGAATATGTTGATGGTAGTGGGGAAAAAAAGTACATAACTAATACAACTATTCTCCTGATTAATTGGAAAATGTTTGGGTGTCTCCAGTTGGAAATGATTTTTATGAACTTGCTATTATAGGGTTGCTTCAAGTGGTCCTTTTATGACTTTTTGTTTTTTGTCCTTTTTATGATATTGTTTTATGCTCTTTAAAATAATCTTTTTATATAAACCATGCCTATATACCAACTAACAGAACATAAGAGAAGTCTTTTAGAGTAGTAAAACTTTACTCAAATATAAAATATTGTTTCTTCAGTTAAACTGCTTGAAGAGGAAACTACATTGCCCAATTTGAAAACAGAAGAGAATAAATAAAATGCAACCCATGCATCATCTAGGACAGGAAAAAGAACAGAAAGCTAATGAATAGTAGTCTGACCCAAATCTTACAGTTCCGGGTTACCTTAAGATTCAGATTTCCTTAAGCTGATTTAAGACAGAGGTTTCCACACTGTAGTCTGTAGATTGCAGTAGACCCTCCATTTCAATTAATTTTGATGAGATGGTGCACCTGTGATAAATTGACAGGAGTCTATTAGTCAAAAAATGTGGGAACCACTGTTGTGTACAGTATTCAGACAATTGATGGAACACCTTACAAAATTCAAGTCCAGATTCAAACATAAAGTGATTAAGTCCAGGAGGGCAGGTACCCAGGTTGCATCTGAGACTTTGGTACAGTTTTATCTATGAAGTTTATGAGAACCAAATTCGCCTCATAAATCTAAGGCAGACTTAGGGTAATCTTTGGGTACATTTGATACCGGATTTATCCAAAGAACCTCG